TTTCGGCTTTCCCTTGTTTACCTCCTTCAATAACTTATGGTAAATAGTAGTAGGGTCCGGTGAAATAGCTCATTTCCTCTCCGGTCAAGCAATAGAATTGTCTTTTGTCTGATTCTTTGATTCTTCCTTCTTCAGCTACCTACTAACTAAATGATTCTAATTCAGATCCTTTCTTTACAGTTGATTGAGTCAATTAAATCCTCTCCTCGGCCAGCTACTTACTCAACCGAAACAAACCCTATGAAGGAAGTAAGAAGAAAGGTCAGGTAAGATCCGGCCAGCTACTTACTCAACCGAAACAAACCCTATGAAGGAAGTAAGAAGAAAGGTCAGGTAAGATCATAGAGTCAAAAGGTAAGGGGTTTACAGTTACGGAATAAATAGGAAGGAGCCGGAGGAGGAGAAGGAGTCTTTGTCTTGTCTCCCAGATTTCATTCCTGTTCCGGAGTAAGTGAGGAGAAAGATCAGTTAAAGAAGGCGAAGGTGCAGTAGCTAGCTCTTTTTCGCTTGAGTCTGGAAAAGCTGCTAATTCATTTAATATCTTTCATTCACTGTATAGGATAGGAGAGGGACACAGAGGTTACGGTTTAGTCGCTTCTCTTTCTCTTCTTTCAGTCATTTACTCTTTTCAACACTCCGGATAGGCGGAAGGATCTATATCTATCCCCTGAAATCCACATCGGCAACAAATTCTTTATCCACTGGGGGAGTCATCAAAGAAAGGAGGAATGGGCATACACTGGTTCGATAAGACAAGGAAGGAAAAACAACCACCGCTGGGTTCACTCAAGCGACCCGCCCTGCCAAACAAAGATGCAAAGACCAAGACCAAGTATTACCTTACCAATTCCCTTGAAGCTACTATCACTACCGAACGAAGCAGGCTTGCTCCAGCAGAACCCTTACAGTAAAGAAAAGCTAAAGAAAGAGAAGAAGAAAGAAGAATAAGAAATAGGAAAAGCAAAGAAAGAAAAGAGTAGATCTAAACCCAATACGATTTCTTCACTTTACTAGAAGTTTCGCAGCAGCCTGCGCTTAGTCCCTGTATTTACAGACCATTCCAGTGGCTCGACCAGTAACCAATGGCGCAAACTCAAAAATCCCTGGTTTCCCGGTAGAACCCCATTTCGACCAAGTTGTTGCGAAACCGGCAAAAATCAGCGGTTTTACGCACAGCTTGCTCATAGTGCAGGTCCCACTTGTATATTGTATTTGGCCGAAGAAGCATCGGACAGGTTGGAGTTATTACCTTCTTGGGACTCTATAGACCAAGATCTGCTTTCATTATATGGGCAATACCGATCGACTTTAGTAGATCATATGGATGTAGAAAAAGCTTCGGATTTGAATGAATTGGAAACATCTCTTTTCCATTTCTATTTACCCAGTTCATATCTTTCTAATCGACGAAGAGGTGTCGACCATTACAGAGAATTCGACAGACAAGACTACGGATATCAAGCCTAGTGAGAAAGAGTCGATCCTAACCTGCGAAATGGTTAGATTCTATATCTAATATACGAAAGACCAAGCAAAGTCCCGGCGGAATCTTCAAATGATGGGAGGCCCGGTTGCTCACCTAACCATGTTAATCTGTAATTCCAGAAAGCTTGCATTTTCCTCTTCACCGAGTACGTAAAGCAAAGGGTAGTGAAAGTCTTAGTGGTCAAGTATTAGTGGTTTGCGGAGAATCGGTTGTTTACGAAGAAGGACATCTTTGCTTTTACTCCTAATGGGCCCCCGCATTGTGAAAAGCATCGCGAAGATGGTAGACTGTTTGCTACAAAAGTCGTAGTGTTGAGATGCACACGCAACTATTGGTCGAATTCCAAAAACACATAATATGCAACATCTCAACATCTCAATGCTATGTTGACTACTTTTTATTGAAATATATATATAGATACATATACACACATACACATTGCGTTTTCGATCTCTTAATATAATATGTATATTGCGTTTGTGAATAAAAGTTTCAATAAACCTTTAATGGATTTTTTAAGATAATTTTAATGATATGGATGAAGTAATAACAACAATTTTAGACATAATGTCGAACCTATTTCCAAAATTGAGAAGAAAAATGTAAACATACTTTTTAAAGAAAAAAATATCAATAAATCAACCCGAACTTAATGGTAAAATTTATTAAAAATATACCGACTAAAGTTAGACAAGGATTAAAATAATATTTTCACCTACTTTTTGTATCCATTAACGTGTAAGGTAAGTTTAATTCTTAACGTTATTTTCAAATGAGCATGGTTAAAGTAATAGTTATCTCTTTTTTAACTCGAATCTCTTGCTCGTTTTCGAGTTGGGTTGAAGACCCATGCACCCTTCTCCTCTCCTCCTTACCAGTTTGTTGTTCTTTTCGAGTCGTACGTTGCTTTTTCGTGGTTTTATTTAAGCTATAACTTTAAAAACAATGATCAAAATGTTGACTCTCACTCGTAATGTTATCTACATATGTTCTTAACAATATATTGGATGTATGTTTACTTGATAAGGAAATAAAGTAGCTGAATTGTAACACATTATGTGGGTTTAAAACATGAATATATAAACAATATTGTCTTATCAAGGAAAGAAACGTCTTGATGTATATTATGCTTTTGTACACATAAATGACAAAAACAACAAATGATCCAAACCCTTTGCTGCTAACAAAACACCATGTTTTGAAGGTACACTAACTTACCAAAAGTTGTCTCTCAACTTGGGATTTGTAGAACAGAAGCCCTTTTTTTTGCATTGCAAAACACTGCTTTATCTTCAATCTACCTTCCCACCTCTAACTCTCTCAGCTGTTCATTCTTTTATTTTGTGGGGTTTTATTGACAGATAAGAAATCATATAATATATGGGGAAATATATATATATATATGAAGAAATGAGGGACAAAGAATATATATATATATATATATATATGTATGTATGTATGTGGGATTTTTGTTTTCCCCTTCCAAAGAAATTGTAAAATAAATGAAGATTTGGAGAGGTTTAGAGGTTGGAGATCAAAGGAAATGAGGCAATGAGGATATATCTTGCATGAAGCTTTCCAAATCCCATTCATTACTACCCATCTTCAAGCTGTCTTGTAAGTGTCCATGGCTTCCCATGTCTCCAAACATCTCCTCCACATTCAAATTCTGCTCATTTGTGCCCAAATACTGACCAAAACTGCTTTTATTGTTCATTAATGGAGGGTGGTTCATCATTTCTTCATGTGGACCACATACCACTTCTCTTTCAATTTCCATTGATCTTTCACCCTCCAAACCTCCATACCTAAACCGCTCTTCCATTCTCATTCCCATTTCTGTCAAGCACCCTCCTCCTCCTGGTGCTTGCAGGAAGCCATTGGTGGCCTCGGCCACAGAGGCCATTTGGAAGTTGTTGTCTACAAAAGCCATGGATGAACCGTCAAATGAGCTGTGTCCTGTTGCAGAAAACGGTAACTGGGAAGACGATGAGGAGGTCGACGATGAATCCATGCTTATGTTCATACTCATGATGTCGTGTTCTTGCATTGCCATTATCCCTCCATACATCATGTCGAATCTAGGATCTGATGATTCATGGCTGTAGGGAGAGGACGAAAGGTTGTTTTTTAACCTTTTCTTTAAGGTGGAATTCCAAAAGTTCTTTATTTCGTTGTCTGTTCGTCCAGGCAAACGAGATGCAATTTGAGACCACCTGTTGATTGTTTCCAAAGAAAATTGGATTGATCAGTCTCAAAACTCGAATAAAGAATTGATGCATAAGGGAGCCCTTCAAACATGCCAAATGTTTATAAATCCGACACCATTTGAATAAAGATTTGATTTACAACATAACAAGTAATGCTCATTTTTTCACACCATCTTTACAAAGTTCCTAGGAATGCAATTTATTCTCTATGTAATATGACATGAAATCCATGACATTACCACTGTTGAATACATATAAACCAAATAATCATATCATATAACAACCATAACTTTTCTAAACAAAGCTATCATGAATGACAAGTTTCTGGATCTAGTAACCATATAGTTTCCCCAAGAAAAACTCATTTGAAACTCTCATTTGGGTATGAAGAAAAATGAGTGGAGGGAGAGAGAGAGGACCTGTTGCCTATGAGGGAATGCAAATGGACAATAAGCTCTTCTTCCTGGGGAGAGAAGGCTCCACGTTTAAGGTCAGGGCGAAGATAATTAATCCAACGAAGACGACAACTCTTGCCACATCTCTGAAGCCCTGCATTCCTAGCAATGTCACTCCAACAGCCCTGCCCATTGTTCAACATATACCTCATCAGCTTCTCGTCCTCCTCCGGCGACCACAGCCCTTTACGGTATTTGTTCTTCTCAGCATTCTCTTTTCCGGGAACCACTTCCGGTTTTCTCATTCTTCTCTCTTCTCTTCTTATGTGTTTTTTTTTTTTTTTTTCCTTTCTCCCAACTGAGTTTGGTCACTGCATGGAGAATTGTACATATATATGTGTGTGTGTGTTGTGAGAGGTATGTACAGAGAGAAAAAGAGAAGGCTTCATGGCGTGGTAAGGGTGATGATGATGGAGACGGTTGGGGATGCTTTGGTTGCTTGAAGAATATGGGTTTGAATGGTGAATATGTGTTGAGAGAGAGAAGATTGTGTTGGTTGGTTGCTAGGTGGAGTGGAAAACGGATTGGAGGGGGACCTCCATTTGTGTATGTGTCTCTCAATGGAGAGAGAGATAGAGAGGGAAGGGGATGTTTGGTCTTCTTGTCTTTGACTCAATTCTTGTCCTTTTTTTGCATTTTTCTTCACTCACAAGGTAATCATTGTCTCTGTATAACAAAGAGCTACAGTTTTGCTTCCACTTCACATAATAATCTCTCTCTCTCTCTCTCTAGAGACACGTGACTATGAAGAATAAACCTAGAGAGAGAAAGTACATTGGTACTTTGGGATGTGTTTCTTTTAGTGCTCCACAACTTGATAAATGTTTTTCTTTTTCTTCCTTCCATTGATCCCTTCAATTCAAGAGTGGACACTGTCCAATTATTTTTAATTCTCTGTTCATGAGATCTCCTTTCATTCAAGGCCACTGTTTGAACAGATTTCTTCACCAAAATAAATGTATAACACCAAATCCTGCAACCATTTGCCTCTTCTTTGCATGACTAAATCTTCCAAAGAAAATTGATTTTCCTAAAGAGACATAATGGACATATCACCTTTCTCTGGTCTATATGTACGAAATGGATAGATTGATTGTGTTTTATTTGAATAAAAGCTAATTGGTCTACATGTACACACTTAATACATGTCATAGAAGTGATGGAAAGAATACGAAGCATTAGTAGGAAAGGAAATCGAAGCATTCCTTATAAGATATAAAAACCTTTGCCTACTAAACATATTTTAAAAACTTTGAGGAAGCCCAAAAGGGAAAACCAAAAAATGACAATATCTGCTAGCGGTAGACTTGAGTCATTCCAAATGGTAATAGAGTCAAACACCGGGCAGTGTGCCAACAAGGACGTTGGGTCCTTAAAGGGGGTAGATTGTGAGATTTCACATTGGTTGGAGAGGGGAACAAAACATTCCTTATAAGAGGGTAGAAATCCGTTTTAAAAACCTTGAGGAGAAGCCCAAAAGGGAAAACCTAAAGAAGACAATATCTACTAATAGTCGGCTTGGGTCATTACAAATGGTATAAGAGTCAGGCACCGGACAGTGTGCCAGCAAAGACACTGGGTTCCCGAGGGGGTGGATTGTGAGATTCCCATCAGTTGGAGGGGGGAACGGAGCATTCCTTATAAGAGGGTAGAAATCTTTCCCTAGCCGTTGGAAATATTCCAACGAATATAATAAGTTGAAAACCTGGTTGTTTTCTGTAACTTGATGCGGGCCAAACTTCCTCAAGAAGATGGACCATAAAAGCATACAGCAAGAAGTGGGGCCTTCAACTCCCCGATTTGATCCTCAAAAAAATCTCATGGTATTGGTGTGCCCTTCCAACATTTGGTACCTTTTCTTTTTCCTGTTTTCAAGAGAAGAGAATGAAAAAGAAGAGCCAAAATTGTAATCAAACAGATCTAAAATAATTGTAGTGGGTACACACTGCAATGCAATAATCAAAAACTTAATCTAATAAATATGGTAAATCAGTTTGTGAGCATTCTTGATAATAAAGTCACATGAACAGATATTGCTTGCTACATCAATTAAGAGATAACATGACCCATCTAATAGTTAGCTCCATTAATTGCAACAGTAACTCAAATTCCTTCATTACCAACAACAATTTCAAGCAATCTAGCTAGCCTAATTGATTGTCTACGTGGTATTTGTGTATTCTTATCCAAAAGCATACCCATCATTGCTGTCAATTGCTTGGAATGCGCATAAAAATTATACAAGTATTCCATACGTATTCATCACCCTTCCCTATTCATTCTTACCTGATCAAGAACAGAGTTTGCAAGTTTAGATCCTTTCTGATAACATAGATTTTGTGCAGGTCATGCTACAAAAATTGATATCACTAAATCACAGATACACTGCAAAAGAGCGAAACACAGACAGAAAAATTTTAAAAAATGAAAAAGAAAGAAAGAACAAACCTACCTTCTTTCAAGAAAGTCTTTTTTAAGCAATTCGTTCCTCTACCTAATCCCTCTCCCTGCATGCTAAGTTAGAGAGAAAGAAAATCCCTCTATGCACCATATTATCGGGGAAAATACATCACTATTTCCAGTCATTGTCACAAAGAAAACAGTTCTACAGGTCCTTGTCAATTCATGAGATTGCAAGGGAAAATATATGGTTTTTTAGTCTGAGCATCCCTATGTTTTCCCCCCTGAAAGAGTAAGTAATTTTCCTGAGCAAAAAAGCAAATGGGAGACTCCAAAGTTACTCAAATGTTCAATAAAGCGCACTATTCTATCTATATACAGCTGTACCAAAAATCCAAGTCATGATTATGATCCAACACAAAGCAACATCCTACTTGGATACAAAGATAAGAAAACCAACCTGTTCCTCAATACAACTGGCAATCATCAGCGACACAAGGAGAAATTAATTGCAGATTTCTTTTTTCTTTTTTAAGAACTTGTATTCATATCAAAACAAAAGCTTTTCGACCCAAAATCATGATACAAAAAGTGGAAGAACTCAAAGAAACCTCAGATAAAAGGTGATGTCTTTCATGTTAGTGCTTCTATTGAAAGTGCATCTTCTGCATCTGAGACCCCAAGAGATGCTGTCATCATAAGGAAAAGCAGATCAGTGCTACAAAAGAAGTCCAGCTTTTTATATCCCAGGAATAGCAGATGGCATTTGGTGAATACAGAAAAGGCAAATGAAAGATATATACAAAAATTAACCTAGTAAAAAAATCATTGAACTTCATATAAATCCAGAGAAGGACAAGGGAAAATAAATGGCAAAATTAAAACACTGAAATCATTGGACTCCATTCCAAATGTAAAGCATCATGATTTTCAAAGTGCAGGAAAACTAAGATGAGAAGCTTGTATTCTTTGAAGAATACACTTGCATTTTACTTGATATCACGTATTACCAATCCAAAGGTTGTAATCAGAACAACTCAAGTTTATTGTAGCCAGGAAGTGCTACCAAAATTTTTGTTAAATTAGCCATATAGATCATCAACTTTGTAAGACAATATTAATAAACTCATATTGTCGTTCATCAACGTTGTAAGAGAATATTAATAAACTCATATTGTCGTTCATCAACGTTGTAAGAGAATATTAATAAACTCATATTGTCGTTCATCAACGCCACATGTAAACACTCACATGGTTGAGTGGACAACTTATGAAATGTTGTGTATCACAAGTTGAGACAACCTAAAAGAAAATGAAAATAATTCCCACTGCAAAAAACTTGAGATATTTGAAATTTTAACATTTCTCGTTGAGATTGTGTTGTACAATCAATTGTTTCTCCAATTTAATGAAGAGTCCGGATGCAATTTCTCATTGCACGATCTGTTGAATTTGTTGATTATGTTGGTGGTTCCAGAAGGAATGGAAGCAACAAAATCTGCAAGGAGAGATCTTGTAAACTAGAACCTCGAAAAATTTTATTTCAGCCTCATAGTAACAATTGGGTAGTGAGATATGAAGCCATTAGTTTGTATTATCATTGATAATATAGACCTGTCATCATTTGGAAGAAAACTTAGCATCGATTGGAATAAGATACTCTTAAACCAAGTAGCTTTTTCTAGATTATAATCCACCGAAACTCTTATTTCCACTTAGATGGTTGTATACCATCATATCAAGTTAAGGTAAAAGGGCAACAAAAATAACGGGGGAAAAAAAGAAAATATCTTTTTCCATTAACATGGATGACAGAATGACGACGATGGACATTGTGCCACAGAAGTTGAACTTCTTTTCAGAGTCCATCAAAAGTTACAGGTTGACACAAGAACCTCTCCATTTGACGTGCCCGGGTTTTAATGGACATGTCAAATACCTTCTCGCCAAATTCTACAACTAGACCACCAAGTATGCTGGGATCAATCTGGCAAATACAAGAGTACTGTTATATTTTCTCAGAAGGCATGCATGCAATTTGAAGCCTAAAAAACTTCCAACCTAAGTACCTTCTGCTCGAGCTTAACCTTCTTTCCCTGTCCAATTATATCTTGCAACGTCTCCGTCAATTCTTTCTCTTCTTGTGGTGGAATGGGCTGGGAAAAAACCAATCAGTTGTAAGGTGCATTGAGGTTTATACAATTTAATATCAATTTTTTTTTCTTTTTTGGTAAGAACTTTGAAATACTAATTTTAAATATAATATGTCAAATAAGAGGTAAAATTACACAGAACCGAAAGATAAGTTGTGGTTCAATATTTTAGATGACAATAAATTTACTTCAGGTATCTCTGTGACTGACATTTTCATCCGAGAACAACGAATGGATAGAATCAATACGCTAAAAGTAAAATAAACGTAAATAATTTGATAAGGCTCCTAACACAAATATGTAAAAGGCATCCCACGACATCCACAAATCAGTTGCCAAATTTCAACGAGTCATCATCCCATAGACACAAATATCACTTTGCACAAGTTAATGCTAAATATATTCCACGTTGAACTTTGTAGCCGAGAATCTGGTTGTAGCCTGAATTAAAAGAAAAGAAAAGAAAAGAAAATAAAATAAAAAGGGCAGAGAAACTTACAATAACAGTAGTAACAAATGCTTTAACTTCTCCCCTATGAGCCATAGTCAACTCCAAAAATCTCTTTGCTATACTATCTACATATCTCAGCCTCCCATTCTCAGCCAGCACAACTACAATAAATAATCAAAATAATTTGAGGAAAGAATGCAGGTAATACTCCTTGAATTAATGCATTTTAATTGCCTGTATCAATAATTTCCCAGCATGAGTACTTCGGCAATTAGAACAAAATGAAAGATGCATGAGTCAAGGGAACAAAAAAAAAAAAAAAAGAGTAACAAGAACCCATTAACCATCTAAAATATCTAAAAAAATCATATAGTATAAAACTCACTTCTTCAATCATATAGGGAAAAAATACCCACCCCTCTCAAGCTAAATCTTATATAGGATATGAAATGATATAATTTAAGATTAGAACATTAGCATAGAAAAAGAATTACACTTTAACAGACAGATTGTGTTGCATAATAGGCCAAAGCTAAATTCAGTTTTCATCCACACAACTAAAGAAGAGTAATGAATCCTACCTAAAAAGTTCTTTACGACATCCGAAAATTTAGCTTCCGCAGAAATTTCAGTGATAGCCTTAACTCTAGTTTCAGCTGGAACTGACAGGTCCATTGTGAACTGAGAAAATGTTGGGCTTTTCTTAATAGCCTCGACAAAGTTAACAAGCTCAGACTCCACGTTGTCTAAAGAATTAGCTTTTACTGCAGCTATATACAGAGCAGAGGCATAGTTTCCAGACCCTCCAAACAATGCAATAGGAACCTGAATATAGAAAACAGGAAAACGCACTTGTAAAATTAACTTCAACCAATCAAGCAAGAAACATAAATCACGTATACACTTTGAGCTCCAGAAAGTATATTTAAGAGTAATTCTAAAAATCTATTAGGGAAAATGATATATGACGAGGTATCTAAGGCGATGATTCACCTACCTTCACTTTTGCTTCACTTTTCCCTGATGTAGCGGCATAAGTCCTTGAGAGCTGCAGCAAATTAGTGAGCACATTATTGAAGTGATATAACCATACTCAGACAAAACCAGTGAAAAAGCAAAAACCCGGCTCTATTCATGACAAGATCGACCAATTTTTGGGGAAATTGAAAACATATGCTCCAGATACCTTGTGAAACTGGTTTACCAAAGAAACTGACATTTTCAATTTGCTAAGAATGCACAAGCACCCAAAATGTTAACCCCTAATTATTCAAATTCCTCACAAGTTCCACGTCTTTTCAAACCTGTTGCCAGAAGTGACAAAAAAAAAAAAAAAAAAAAAAAAAAAAAAAAAAAAAAAAAAAAAAAAAAAAAAAAAAAAAAAAAAAA